CGGCCCCCGGGGGGGGCGCCGCCCCCCGCCGCGGGCCGGCGCTGCCTGGTTCAAAGCGGCCGGGGCCGGGCTCGCCCTGCGCCGACATCCACGGCGCTTCCCTCGGCGAGGCCCGCTTGCAGCCCCGCGGACCTCGGCCCGACTCCAGTTCTTCCCCAGCGATGAGGGAAAAAAGAAGTTATTAGGGAGACGCGTTATAGAAATGCAGACACACAATAATATGTATAACCACACTAAGCAGCTCACTACGTTTAAAACATAAGCACTGGGCATGGACTAGATCAGTGCTTCTCAAACTAGCTGAAGTGGTGGACCGGCAATTTTTTTTCCAGTGGGCCAGGGACCGGTGCCCTGTTCAGCCGGTGGCAGCAACTGCGTGTAACAGCGCTACACAAATGCGCGACTGGCTGTTTCCTGCTCTTTCCTCACCTCGTGCGACATGACATCGTGTGGAGGGTTGGAAGGTAGGAGCTGTGGCGCTATGACATACCAGTCTTATGTTTCTGAAAATATATTTCTTTCTTTCCTGGCAACTCACTGCCGACCGGCGACTGGTGGCTCACAGACCGGCACTGGTCCACGGACCACCGCTTTGAGAAGCACTGGACTAGACGACCTCCTGAGGTCCCTTCCAGCCCTCCTTTTCTCTGAGTCTATCTGACCTTGCCCAGTCTCCTGTGTCACCCAGCGGCAGAGAGTGGATGCTGAGGGGCAGAGTGATGATGACCAGGGTGTTTTTCCTTCTGTTCCTCTAACATGCGCAGCCTCCGGCATTTCTGATCTCCAACATTCTCATTCAGAGGCTGTATCCCTAACTCCAGTGCTCAGCAGCTACTGGTGCTTGTGCCTCTTTTCTCCCAGAATTTGTCCAGTCCCTTTTTGAATCTATTTAAACTGTCAGCTTCCACAACATGTGGCCATGAGCTCCACAGCTTACCTGCAGGCTGTGTGAAAAAGGACTTCCTTTTGTTAGCTTTACTAGAGACATTCAGTAGCACCGTACAATCTTCCAAACCTAAATAATGGCGATTAAAACAAATCTAAAATAGTTGCAGGAAGAAAAGAGTGAGGCGCATTTATTTTATTACATATGAACCAAGCCTTTAGACTGGGCTAAGTAAGACAGAAGTTCAGACAAACTGATGTGAAATATGGGGATATGATTTTAAGGTCCTTTACAGGAAGCTCATAATTCTACACAGCAGTTTGGGATATTCATTCTTTCCTCACAATGGGAAAAAATGCCATCTGAAGTTGTTATGATATAAACAGTTCAATAGCTGATTCACTAATACTTGGTTTATTTTTATGAATGTTTCTGGATTCAAAATACCCCAAAGAATGCAGATGTGTGCACAGTCAGCGCACAGTAGAAGCATATCCAACATGCTAAGAAGCCTACGGGCATGCATAAGCACTTAGAAAATGGTGCAATGGTAAGCAGATGAAAGAGTAATTTGTTACCTAGGTTTTTTTACAAGATCATTGGATTATGAAATTAAGCACCCCAGATGGAGAGATTTTAAGATATTGCACATCTGTACCTAATAAAACAGGTTTAAACCTTGTTCAGGTGTGTGAAACTCATGGGGGATTAGCAGCCTCTTGAAAAGAGTTTTGTAGCACAGAAACCAAGGGCCTGATCTAACGCCGACTGAAGTCAAAAGAAAGTCTCCCATCAGCTTCAGTGGGTTTTGGATTGGACCTTAGATTTGTAACCTTGCTGGCACGTGGAACTAAGTAACTTACACATTTTAGGGAAGTGAGTGATAAGTATGAATTATTTTCCCTGTCTTAATACTGTTCCCATTATTTTTTCCTCCTCCTGCTCCTTCATGCAATCCAACAAAATCTGCACAGATTTAACCATAATCTCAATACCACTGGAACAAATCCCTTTATGAATTTTCCTCAAGAATTACCTGCAAGAAAAGTTGCTCCATATAATTTCACACAACTGCGAAAATGAACCATCATTTACTGTAGTCCCCCACCCTCTTGTCCCATCCCAGCAGATTCATGTAACTGAACAAAACAAACTAGGGATTTGTTTCTGGAAACCTATGCTTATTGCTCACCAGGAGTAATGCCATGCATGTAAAACAGTACTGCTTTTCAAATACCACATCTGGGTCTTGTATGAAACCAGTTATTGTCTGTACTGGTACAGTACAGTCGCATCATATGTGCATTTAACGTGCGCAAATTCAACTATACGTGGGGTGGGAGGGGGGGTGGGGCTTGAGTGTGCGGCGGCGGCGGGAGGTTTTGGAGGCAGAGGCAGTCACTGCTAGTCAAATCACTGTTAGGTAATATGTGATTTGACTATACGCGATTTTCACCTT